ATTTCCCTAGTATGCTGGAGATGGTAAAAAAGAACTCGTGCAGATGGACACCTCTGGCCAGTTTCCTTACAAACTTAACCTTTATGTTAGAGTACACACTGGACACTGAGTAGCTTAGTCTCTTATCAAAGTAGCCCTGCTCTAAGTAGGGTCACTTAACACATGCTTGCCTTTTCATCTGTTTACCAGCTTACCTTTGGAAAAACCCAGTTTTTATAGGGGTCCTTTCTTATATGTACAAGAATCTGGAAACATTAGCACCCTGCTCCCAGCTAGGAGGACTCATACATGAAAGCAACCATTCACATGCAGGCTGATGTGGATGTGGCTGCATATCTGGGGCCCATTGAACTAGGTTAATATAAAGGAAGCATTCCACCAATTGTTACCTATAGTGGGTTACCCAAAACTGAAGCTGGATCAGAGTCTAGGGGTGTAACCAGAAGACGAAGTGCTGGCACTCCAATCATATATGCATTTACTTAGAAGTAAATCCCACTAATTTTGGTGGAATTTGCTTCTGTGTAAGGATGCTAAAATTGTAGCCTAGATTTTTTAACAGCTTTGCAAATTCCTTCTGCTCTGTTTTTGTTTCATTGTGTGTGTTTCAAAAGCTTTACAGTAGCTTTAAAGCAAGAAAGAAATACACATCTTCCGAATGTATTTAGCTTTCCTAACAATGCCATGATAAGCTTCTTTCACCAGAGGTCTCGTTTTTACTGTTGGCTTCTATGGGACTAAAACAGGAGACATCAAAGAAGGAATGCAGTTCTGTTGCTTTTTGAAGGGCATTTCACACGGTACAATAACCAGAATGGAGGCCGATGTAAATCACTTATGCATGGCAGTATTCTGTAACACCAAGGGTCTCCACAAGAGCTGAGCAAAGCAGCACACACCCATTGTAACCATCATGTGGAGCACTAGCCCATGTAGGTGATTTTTGGTGGCTTTCATATTTGACATTGCCTTTCAATTCTGTAGAGTAGATTTTTAAAGGAAGGTTGTGGTTTGCAAATTTTGCGGAGCACAGATAAGCCCAATGCTAACAAGACCGCACAGCTGAATTTTTACATGATACATTTCCAACTAGTGTAGCATTTTTTAAAAAAAATAATTTTTAGTCAAGTAAATTAAAAAAAAATTAGAGTAGCATACGATAGTGCATCTTTAGATAAATAGTGAGGAAATGTGTTACTATGACACTAGTACTTGCACTAGGCGTCATTTTCTTGGATAAATGAAGATAATTCCTTATTGCCAATGATGGGACATGTTTCTGTAGATGTAAGTTGTCAATTTTGTTGTATTTCTATTATTGCACTGTCCAGCCGCTGATCTGAATCTAAAAATACAGTGCATCTGAGTGTTAAAAATAACCCACTAACCACTTAGACATTTGAAATATGTATATGTGATGCAATTTTTTAAAAAATAAATGGTTCCACTAAGGAAACACACACCCACACCAGATTTCGTGACGTGGCAATACATTACCCTTTAAGCTACTTCCTTCCCCAAAGCCTTTTTATATGGATTTGGTAAATGGTTATGCCTTAATGTAAATTTTAGGTAGAATATTAAAAAGCCAGAGTATAGAAAAAGCACAGCACTTGCTGTAGCATAATTCAGTATCAGGCATACAGGGCAATTTTGGTGATTACTGATGGGAAGCAATTGACTAATGTAATGTTTAAAAAGGGTAGCTAATCCTATCCCCAAAGCGCCCTCCCCAGCTGACTGGCTGCCACAGCATTTTGCCACACAAATATCTATGGAGCAACTCTGGTTCTGTGTACTGGAGCAACTGAAGGGTGCTGAGGTAAGGCTCACCCCTTGAGAAGCAATACACACTCTCCCCCCCCCCCATCCTGCTGTTTCTAAAACAGAGGTAAAAAACAAGGGTGCACTGGAGTTGCTGGCAGGCCGTGCATGGCGTTTCTGTCCCTTCTCAAAGCAGCCTGATCAGGGTTCTACAGGCTGTGTTAATAATGACTGAAGTGATGAAATGGACTGTAACACTTCAGCCTGCAGGGGGCAGATTTCAGCTTTGAATGTCCCTTTGCTTTAAAAACTCCGGGCAAATACAGAACTTGCATTGCTGGCAAAGAGGGTCTACCCCCTCTCTTAGCTTGCTGTGCTTGTTTTTTGTTTGCAGGGACTTCTTAACATAAAAGCACATTGATTATCTTCAGTATGGCATGGGGCACTCTATCCAACCACCTCGTTCTGCCACATGCACGCAAGAACCGGCCCCCAAATGCACAGAGAGTAACATAAGTTACCTTAATTATGGGCCCAGTAGCTCTCAAAAGACCTCAGCTAGAGGCCTTCTTGTCTCTGCTTTTCAAAGACCCTGGAGAAGCTGGAGACTGAACCCTGAACCCAGGACCGTCTGCCTGCAAGGCATGTGCTCTGCAGTTAATTACGCCTTCCTGCCCGGGACCTTTCCCCCATTTTCTACAAGCAACAATATACTTGGCTTTTTCTGGCCAATGTCTCTGTAGCCATGCCAGCTTTGCAGTACTGCATCTCCAGAAGGAATCCATTTCTGTTTTTCTACTCTGTTTTATATTCATAATTAAAACTACCTGTGCTTTGAAATGCCACATAAATACATTTGGCCAGATGTTCCAGACTAGGTCAAATAACATGCATTAATGTCTTCCACTGGGCCAAAGATGTATATAAGACTCTCCCACCCCCCTTCTTGTGCCCTGAATTTATATACAACAACCAGGGGGCAAGGGGAACAGAAAAGGAAAATGGTTGTGGTATTTTATAAATTATGAGAACATTGGTTGGGGTGTAGAAACATTAACTTGCTTGAGGAGTTGGCTTGCTTTAAACCTTTTGCTCTTAACATCTTCCATTGGCAAAAGGTTTAAGGCCACAGTCTTGACCAGTAGTTATTGTCAGTTGCCCAATCACTCTATCCTTAATGTCACTGGGATTATTTGCTCTTATTACTTAATATGGTGTTAATCCAAAAGAAGAACATAACTTTTTTTTTTACTAATTTACTAATGGAAAAGGAAACTCAAGTGAAGAAGATAAGCCTGATAAGAAATGAGAAAAATGCAGAGAGCAGACTTAAAGAGTAGACTGTGCTCAAAAGAACTGAGTTTTTATTTAGGCAATACATACCTTTGCTAATACAGAAACGATTTGTCTCAGATGAAAATTGTATATTATGCTGTCAAAAGGCAGACACATTTTGCTAAAGTGCATATAAGAATGATGGGGGAGGGAAATCTGAACTTGACTGGTGAACCACAAACTGGAAGACAATAAACTGAAGACTGACTTGTACAACAACGTTGTCTGTGTGTATCTTGCACAATGCCAGAGAGCCAGTTTCCTATACAGAAAAGTCTTCAAATGCCTCTTCTGCCAGTGCAGGCAACAGACTCTGTAGAATGATAAAGCAGTTGGGCCTTGCTCTAACCCACTTCTGAGAATTTTCTTTTTCAGTACATACTTCAAAGTGAGACATTCAAAGCTGAGTCTTAATGGGAGGGAAATGATTGGTGACTTCTTTATTGACACCATGGTGGTGCCTTGCCTGCTCTACTGGAAGGGATGACCAAAGGCAGGACTCCTGTGTAGACAAAGTAATACTAACTACTTGGGACACTCTGAAATCTGTGCATCAGCCTCAAAGCAATATTGCAAAAGCCGGGCTGCAGTCCCCAAAGCCAAATCACATACACATCCTGAAGTAGATTTCTGATCCATTTCTTTCCAAAATGACCCTGAACACTGTGTTGAACCACATCCATGGATCTCTGCACTGCAACACAAAACGTTTAAAGTCTGTTTCATTTCCAGACTACAAAAGTATTACAGGATTCCCCACTCCCAATAGATTGGAAAGATGTCAGAATGCCCCCTCATCAAAAAGTGGTTGAATGAAGACTGAGTCCATGTCACAACCTCCCCCCAGCTCCTCCTCTAGCTGTGGCAGTGCTGCTTTTGCTACGCGTGTAACAAAACCAAGATTTCTCAAACAGAATCAATACATTCTCATCATGAGGCTTAAAGTAAAGGAATTGTAGTATCTCCAACAAGAAAGGGAAGAGAGCTAAATCTGTCAAGTGTAGAGGAGCAAAAAAAAAAGATTGGCCAAACAAACAAAAGATTAGGTATGAAAAGAGCAGTGACCAAAAAGAAGCAAAAAACTGTGTGGTGGCCAACTTTGTTGCCAGCTGCTGTACACAGTGGTGTTGCCCCTCCCCAGTCTTCAGAACTGAAGGGTAGCAGCCGTGCAGCACAAGGAGTGGGTGAGAGTGTAGGCCTGGGCATGCCGCATGGCCTGTAGGTCACCCTACCCAGTAGTGCCACAAACACACCACATGTATGGCACCTAAGACTTCAGCCGGCCAGACATTTGTATAGGAAATGCAGGTAAAATGAAAAGACCACCTTTATCATTGGGACCTGAGGCTTCTGCAAAATTTATCAAACAGCAATTGGAAGAACACAACAGCCTTTATTATCTCAAAGAAGCCAGTTATGACTTATTTGCTTACGAATGTATCTATATCATAACAATTACAATTTACTATCTTCCTGACACTTTGAAAAGTGTCTAAAGGGACACTTGAGCCTTTTCAGATGCCACTGGAAAGGTCTATTTGACCTTGTATACACTTGTACAGAGAGGAATCCTTTTGTGTGTACAGCTTTTGGCATGATATGGTAAACAACATTCGCGCCTGCAGTTTACACATTTAACTGTCAGGCTAGGCCAAAGTTATTTTGTATAGATAGGCCAATGACATGATTGGGACAAATTCACTCACTTATGTGAATGAAAGTGGTCAATAACTACAGAAAACTTGTGAAAAAAATAGTATTCAATAATCTAGATTTCCAAGATAATATTACAATTACCAGGTATCTCACAATTGGCAAATCCTGTTCATTTTAAATGGCATGTTTATTCAAAATATAACACTGGCTGTAGTATTAAAAATTAAACTCATTTCAAAGTGCATCAGTTCATCTACAACTGTCCCAAGAAACATATTATCTGCTATGGATTGTTAAAACCACCCAAAAATCACATTAGATACGCAGGAACCAGGCGGGTTCCCCTGTCAAATGATCGCTCTGTTTGTTCTGGTTCATGGCAGGCTTGGCCATCCTTTGGGGGCTTTTCCCACTGGAAGAGATAGCAAAGTGCCATCTGCACTGTTTGCCTGACAGATGGATTCCCAGCTTCAGACAGTTCTGTTGTAGGTTGCTTAAGAGAAAGTTAACTTTTTCAATTGTAAATTCAGTTAAGTACATCAAAGAGACACACAGGGAAACTAGCAACCACCACCCCTCTCTACAGTGTTGCACACAGGGAAACACTTGTTGGCCTCAGTGTAACAGACAGACAGCAGGATCAGGTGACAACACCCCACAACCCTCGGCGGGTACGGAAGTCTTCTGCGGCCCGGAATGCTTGATTTGTAACAGAACTGTACCTCGATTCCAGTCACACATCAGACAGAGGTGTGCACCGGTGTGGCTACAGGAGACGACCCCCTATCTGATGAAGAAGAAATGGAACGTGTCGCTGCTTCCCGCTGCAGCTCCTCCACCCGCTTCTGGAGCTCAGTTCTGATGGCAAGGAGCTCCTTCAGATTCTGGTGAATTGGCATCTGTTAACACATTTAAAAAAACAATTCAGTATTCTCTCTATTGTACCACATGAAATGCAACACTAGTGTTTAAGGTTTAAGTGGGGTCTCTGGATTAAAAGATCTCTCCCTAGTTTCCTCCTCCATGTTCACAAATGGAATATATTTCTCTTTTATAAAGGAATGCAGAGTTACTCCAGCTTAGACACACTGATTTCAATGGCTTGGAACTAGAGAGCACCCCAACAGGATTGCAGGGTCAGCTGGCAAACAAACAGTAAAGGCTCATAAAAAGGGAGACAGGCAAGAAGGTGACAAAAGAAAGGCATGCTATTAGTGTCCTCTTATTTTCCTCTCATTATTGTGGGGAGATGAACATGGGATGGCTTCCCAAATTTGTTAAACATAAAAAGCTGTTTTGACAATCTATAGGGAGTCTCCATATATTTCATGAAAACATTTTGATCATTTGCCTCAAGGGTAATAAAGCTGTATTATTCTAACAGTGATCTTGTTATATATTTGGCAATACTTCCAGACAAATGAAGGAAAAAGAGGGAAAGGGATACATACACAACAACAACTTAAAGAAGCAGTTTGAATCTGGCAAAATTGTGTTTCTGAATTTCAGAGTGTAGGGTGCCAGTGTTGCTATGATTCTGATAACAACGGCATGCTTGCTTCTGCAACCTGAAATTCTGTATATTAAGTAAATAGATTACTAATACACTGAATCCTCCAAAGAAACTTGATGCTAATGAGGGAGTTCTGGGCAACTTCACAATTAGAGAAAGGGCAGCAAAATACTGTTCAATTGGTCACAACAGCAAGTGGGGACCGGTTCCTGAGGTCTGGCAAATGGGGCTTAGCTCAGAAACTTGTTTTTAAGACTTGTCCTTGGGACCTGCAAAATAAACGTGTCTTTGAAGCTGGGGCTTTTCTTTTGCAGTGAGTTACCAACCCCCTTACACATCTGGAAGAAGGACAAACATCATGCAGGTCAAAGGGCATCTGCTAGCAAGCTTGACACCTGGTGCATGAAGAATAAACTTGAAACCATTCTGGTTGGCATTCAAGTAGCTTATGCAGTGCTAGGTTCCTGAAGGAGGTGCAGGTCTCTTTTCCTTTTGTGAATTCTGAGTGTCACTGTGGACGGCTTACAGTCTGCTGCTAGGCAACGCTTTGCAACCAGTACACATTTTCAACTGCAGCTGAACATGCCAGACAAGGAAGGCAACCCCACCTTTGCTCTGTTTCAATGTTCAGCATGGAAATGTTACCACAGAGGTGGACAAGAACCCTGGGAAGAATTTTGCATCCACTGGTAATTTCGGGGGGGGGGGGGATAATTAGTGATCTAATCTTGCTATAAAATTGATTAGCCATCCTCTCACCAGCTCTTGCAGTTTTTTCTTAACTAACTTAATTAGGCTACAGATACATTGAAAGTCATTAGCACCAATAATACCTGAAGTGATAAAAAGATTAATCTCCACTTTAGTGCCTTGAATTAAATTGCTACTAAAGGTAGCTCTATTACAGTGCTATACCAGTACACCAACAAATTAAAAAAAGACTTATTTTCTTTGTTGGGGGGAAACCTATATCCAGAATAGGAAAAAAAAAATCTGCCAACTAACTGCTGCTCAAGGAATATTAGAAACCATTTTATTCCTGAAATGTCTTTTCAGATTCTTTAATGCCTAATGCCCTATACAACAGGGATGACCGCTCAACTGTTTTGGAACTGAGGCCAGATTTTAAGCAAGGGCCAGTTCATACAGCACTCAGGTACCTTGTCAGCTCCTGCATTGTTATTTTTCTACCTTATGGTATAACGTCTGGTAAAAATGCATAAGATCACAACTAACTACTCTGGGAAAGATTATGGATTGTAACTGTTTAGGTTGCATTCCACTCAATTCACCTAAGTGTGCAAATTATTTGTTTTGCTTCGGGTTGGCAAATGGAATAGTTTCACTTCATGATTTGTGTTTAATAAAGCTCTTATTCTGTTTCCACTGTGCTGCTAATTATAAATAGATTCTGTGGATTAGGAAGCGTGAGGTCAGACACTCCTGCTGTCTAATGGGCAGCACTGTGATATAACGCGCGCGCACACACACACACACACACACACACATACAAAAGGCAACATACAACCAGTGCAGCTTCTGGCTCATAGGTAAACCTCCCACAAGCCACAAAAGACCTGTTAAATAGTATCTAAATGCTGGCATGTGTAGAACACACCTCTTTTCCTCCATGCTTTCAGCATTGTGAAGCACAGTGAAAGCCGTACAGACAAGGATAAGCATAGAAGGCATCATAATAGCGACTCGCTTACATCACTATCGGCTTTTAATTGGATGGATGGCGACTATGTATTCTTGCACTTTCCTTTGCTAGCTCAAGGACAGTCATTCAAATGAAAATTGTTCAGCAGTGAATGCGTATCTTCTTCTGAAGGCACTTTTAAAAACAGTTTTAGCAATGGGAGATAAAAGGGAAGGCTGCAGAGAGATTGTAAAATCCATTGCTTCCTTTGCAACATGAGCCTACCCCTAAACTCTTGAAGCTACTGTGCTGCAGAAGGAGCTCCAATTTGCTTTCCTCCTTAAAAGGCTGGAACAAGAAGGCAGAGCTGAAAGGGATACGGCAGGACCATTGCTCTGGACAAATGGGCGTGACAGGCTTTCAAAGCACTGCAAAAACAGTGGGACCACCCCCACATGAACCCATGCACCAAGCCAGCATAATCTGTGATAAACTTGAACACAGCGCACCTAGGGTTCTATAAACTTTCCATGGCTAGTCCTGCTGACAAATGGAACACGGGCCAGCTGTCAAGTACCTGGCAGACCACAACACATGGCAGGTAGGGAGTGTATGGCTGATACATACCATGATGACTTTATTGTACCCTGTCAGCTCTGAAAAACTGAAAATCATCTTCAGTCCCCCCCAAACAGGGAAATCCTTCATACATATCCCAACTGCAACAAGGCAATTCCTGCAACAGGAACTGTGGGCTCACCCTGCGGGCCCCGCAGGTCACCTGGCCTCAGAGCCTTGTCTCTGCTTGCCTAGAAAGCTGTGGGGCTTTGGGTGCGGAGGCTGGAAGCAATACAAAACCAGCGCGAACTAGCACTGTCCAGTACAGCAGAGTGTCAGGCTCTGTTCTAGAGAATCAGCCTGAGAACATGAATTGTTCAAAAGGACAACGTGCTGCAGGAACTGTTGCTGCTGTTTGTCTCTCTTCCAACAAGCAGACAGTCTGGCAGAACTGCTTTTAATCCCAAAAGTTACCACATTACCACAAAAAGTCCAATACTAGAGATGAAAGCTGCATTCTTCCAAAAGTAGGCACACTTAAGCAGCTTCCGCTATAGAAGGTGTGCTTCTGAAATTTACTGGAAATATAAACTGAAAAAAGCACAAAGCAAGTGCCAGAATTAGATTGTACAGCACAGGGGAAACACACTTCATAGGAATAAAGGAACTGAGTCTGAAAAAGAGACACAACACAGGAGTGAATGGGTACGGGGACTCAACACAGTCCACCCTCGCTTCAGGAAATAAATAATATTTCAAAATTAAAGAGAAGACAAGAAAACACACCTGGCAGATTCAGATCAAACTGCTTGAAAATTGACAGAGGCTGTTCACGTGAAGTCAGTCTAAAGAGTCAGAGTACTAGAAGCTAGAATGCACAGGCATGTCATGATAACACGGCATAACAAAAGTAGTATGCTTTGTGCCTTCCAAGAAGTCAACAACAAAACCCACCACCCTCTGATCTGTCGAGTGACAGCCCGTGACTTCGTCTTTTATGCCATCCCAGTTCTAAGTGATGTTTCAACTGTTTCCACCTCACTGCTTCTCCTTTTGTGAACATGGGAACAAGAGACACAACCAAACTATCCTCATCAAGTTCTCACACTGTTAAGTCAGCTTCATTCTCTTAAGTGTTCATTCTGGCAAGCAATTGCCACTCTTAAAAATGTTCTGAATCCCTCTATAAAAGGAACAACCCAGAATTATTTAAAGCACAGAATGCATGTTTTGATGAGGCACTTCCTCAGGACTGCAATTACTCTTTCCTCCTTTCTTCATGTCAACAGTCACATCACAACCACAGGCCCAGGATAGCGTACCAGGCTGCATTAGGCAGCATTATCGGCATGATATTCCCCTAATGGCACAATGTTTCCTGGGCTCCTTCTCTGGCTTACCATTGAAATGCTCGAGAGGGAATGCAAGGTATTATTGTGCACAGCCTTATATGGAAAGCTGATTCAAACATGACAAAATTCAAACATGACACAAAGCATTAATATGTGCAGGAAACAATATGAAAGCTGTACACATTTTGCTACAAGTATGCAACCACCATATGCAATTCTGTGGTCCTTCCTATAGGGAAGCCTTTTCCACATAGCAGTTCAAGCAGCCTTGATGCAACATTTTCCTACCAAAAGCTTTGGTGGGAACTAAGTACGTTCTTCTATCAAACATAAGACAGGGACATAAAACAGGTAGGGAGAGCTTTGGGAAGAACTCAAGCCACTATTGTGCATCAACGTGGCAAAACCTCCATGTTTAAAGTCTGTGGCTGAACAGATTGGCTTAAAAATCCTTTCCGATCTTATCAGAAGCATAAGATTCCTGAGATTTCGTATTTTTTTAAACTAAGTGATTTCAAAAAAGAAATCCACATTAAGGAAAAGAAAGGCAGGAAAATACACCATCATAGAGGGTGTTAAGGTATCCCAGAGAGAGGGATTAGGTACCTTTACTAGCAGTCATAAAAAGAAAGTCTGACTTCAGAAAGGGAAGGAAAAGAAGAGTCAGCACAAACGGATAATCCAAGCTGGCAGCAAAATGTGACTTTCTAATAGGTCCTATGAGGCAATTAGTGATTATGCAGCTTTCAGGTCCAAAATTTCCTTCCTGTACAGCAACACAAAACCTAAAGGTAAAAAGATTTAGCACTAAGTAATGAAGGCTCAGGCCTTGAAATGTTGTTTCTGACAGAGCTTTGCCTACCCAGGCTTCTCAAGGAAGAAGTCTATTAAGGATGCATTCATTCCTCAAAGTTACTCTGCCTTTTCTTTAAGCAGCTTGAGGTAGCATAAATGGCCTCCCCCCTCTCACAACTACCCCTTTGAAGTAGGTTCGAGGCTGATAGAGTGTGGCTGGTCCAAGGTGATCCACTGAGATTCATGTCCAAAGTGGGGATCTGAAGCCAGGCCTCCCCAATCCAAATCCAACACCTTTCTTTAGATAGACAGACAGACAGACGATAGACATTTATTACAGTCAAAGACCAGCAAAACAGACAAATTCCAAGAATTCACTATGTCAGAACTGTGGCCCAGTAGGCTCTGGCAGCAGCAAAGAATCTTGCAACTGTTATCTGAGTCTCCAGACTCAAAGTCAACTACCAGAAAGGAGGTCTGCCATTCCTTTGAAGGATAGGCTGGATAAATGTGTTTGAGGTCATCATAAAAGGGGCAATGCAGCAATACATGACCAACTGCTTCTCTGTCTTTTGGCTAAGATCAGATGTAGTTATTATGTAGAATATTTCTATGCTGCCTCTTCAGAATTCTACTTGAAGTGGCTTACAACTAAAAAACATAGCATTTTTAAAAAGCCATTAAAAAGTCATTATTACACTACCCCATCTACCCTCAAGTACTATTTGTGTTCTCATTTTATTCAAGCATGCATAATCCTAGAAATATTCTGCCACTAACCTTGTCCATGGCTAGGCAGGAACAGTCTTAGTAATTCTGAGGTCCTGGGCAAAAATCCAAACTGAGGCCTAAGAATGACTGCCACCCCCTACTGGGCCCCCCACCGCACATACCCCTTGCCACCAGGGTCCAAGCAAGGGGCAGCCCTTGCCCCATGTGAGGTGGGCAGAGCCACTGCTACCGGGGGAAGCTGGCTGCCCAAGCCTCTGGTGGTGCAGCAGCAAGCAGCTGCTACCACTGAGCCAACTGCCCCCCTTCATCGAGGTGGTGGGGCCATTGGCAGTCAGCCCCTCCAGAGTGTGGCATGGGGCAATTTCCCCTATAGCCCATTGGTCAAGACTGCCCCTGTGACTAACAAGCTGGGCACTGAACTACTTGAGGTATACACCAACCAGTTTTGATTTGAATTATGCTACCCCTGGGTCCCTTCCTCCAGGGTCCCCCTGTTGCCCTGACACAGACAACTGTGGCCCCTGAAAAAGGAGCTGGTACCTCGACTAATCCAATCAGAAGAAGTGATGCCAAGTCAAAAATACACTCCAGTAACGAATTTCAAAGAACATACATACAACAGTATTAAAGACTACATGACATAGTAACAGTGATCCATTTAGAAATGTACACTCCACAGAAGACTGCAGATTGGGTCACGAGTACATGCTCATCACTCCAGCCATCAATGATGAATGTCTGTGTGCAAGAATGAGCCACAGAACTTTCACCTCATTTAAAACACAATGCAATTTGATGCCAAGCAGCAATCAGAAACCAAATGAGCTATACATTTACACAGTTCCATCTTTTTCGTGCAGAATTGTACCCTACATGAGAATCGCAGCTTTAAGTGCTCCCCTGTCACTTCACATTATGCAGAGCCACACAGCTAAGTTATCCCAGACATTAGGAGAGGAGGGGATTATATGCACGGTGGCTGTTAAGAGAGTTACGGATGGTACTGTCTCTGGCAACCATAAATCTTTCTGGCAACTGCCCATCCCTGGATGTTTTCAACCATTGTGCCAGTACTTACTTCCACAAATTGCACAGACTATGTGTGTGGGGACACAGGAAGAAGGAAGAAAATACTCTTATTTCATGCTGAATGGAACAGAAACTTTCAATTAGAGCTCTACGGGACCTCCAGCAGTTCCGTAGAGCCGTTAAAACGGAACTGTTTCACCAGGCGTTCCAATAAGAACCGACTACACCGGTGGTGTCGCACTAGCACTTTATCATAGGATGTATTAGCTGGGATTTTATGGGATTGTATTTTATATTTTGTAATTGTTGGTTTTAACTGAATGTTGGTTTTAAATTGCTTGTAAGCCGCCCTGAGCCGCTTCGGCGGGAGGGCGGGGTAGAAATCTGATTAATAAATGAATGAATGAATGAATGAATGAATGTCCTAAGTTTTCTGGCGCATGCAGACAACTGGTTTTTGGAGACACCCTGAAGCAATGTTTCCAGAAGGGTAATCATGTTAGTCTGTTGCAGCAAAATTAAACAGAAGTCTGGTGGACTGTACATCCATGTATAAATACTTCATGCATCCCATGAAGTGAGCCCTTATTCAAGAAAGCTTATGCTGGAATAAATGTTGTTAGTCTTTAAGGTGCCACCGGACCTCTGTTTAATTCAGATGTAACAAGAATATCTTGCACTGCAGAAGTGAAATATTGCTGCACTTGAATTGTCTGCATCTGCCACAGGACTCAGGAGAGGGACAGAAAGTGACAAACACAAATAATATCTGGCTTCCAAGGTAAGGTCATCCAAAATCGGTGGATCTCCTTCTGACTGTTTACAGCAGCTGCTGCATGTGATGTTTTAACCAGAGAGAAGGGGGAGTTAAAGGTCTCTACATGTCCTACTGCAATTAAGTCCCCACCCTTGAATGGTACTTCATGCACTCTGAGCCCTGTACACGATACCTGGTTTACTGCTGTCTGGCTAGTGTTACATTTTCAGTAAAAACTGCAAAACACATGGAAACTTGTTTCAATAAAAGGAAGGAAAGGGGGGAAAAGCATACCTGGGACCTCATTCGTGGATTCCATCGCACATAATAGTTTACCCATAATTCCAAATGGCTTAGACTGGCAACTGGATAGAGGACGTGGTTTTCATAGTTTACATAGAAAGGGTTACTGAATTCATCTAGTTGGCTATTAATGTATGACCATAAAGAGACAGTCCTTGTAGGGATTTCCTGAAGATACAAATATACATATTTGGTCAAGTACATTTGCAAGGAAGGCTCTTGGAGTGCACCCATTCTCAAAGCTTACTATTCATAGGACAATGTTTCTTCATGAATATGTCTCCTGGGGAATCCTGGTGTTTCTTCTGTAGATGCGCTGCATGGTGCAAGAGATTCTGGGACACCTTCTACAGAGAGGGTCTTGGTTCAGATCAGAGTTATTGGGCCTCATTTTTACCTTTATGAATTCACCCCATAATGCCTTGCAGCACTTACACACACTGGAAGAAACACACCAAAGACGTCCCTGCAGGTGTACAGGATCAGTACAAATGGACAGTCATTCAAGGAAGACTGGCAGTCACTGTAGTTCTTCTCAGTGAGGAATCCCTGATAGATTTTTGTGGAATGCCAGGTTTCCTAAGGACATGCTTTGAAAACCTCATCTCCAAGATAAAACAGAAAAGCTATTAATTTGGAAAAATGCCTGCATTAAGAAAAGGAAACTTAACGGTCCTGAAATGGTTTTCAGGTACTGGGTTTTTTTAAAGAAAAAAAAATCAGTAGGTATATGTTGATACAATAGTCATTACTGGTTGTATTTCAAGTATTAGGCATTTGAAAATGCTGACGCTTATTTCCTTGGAGTAACAGCAAAACTAGGATGAAATTAGATATGTTTATGAAGTAATGGGCTTGGAGGAACAAAGGTGTGCTTTTAGCAGTAAACACTATCAATCTCAAGCAAAAAAACAACACTGAAAATAGCAAAATAAAATATCTGGAAGTCAGCAAAAACATATTCTACAAAATGCAATCAACAAATCAGAAGTCTAGCAAAGCAGTACTATCTTTTTAATCTACAGTTTCCCTACACCTACCCAAATTATTGGGTTCTTAATTAAATGTCCATGTTTAGCTATATTCAGAGGGGTCCTTAAATTCTATAACCAAATGCAAATACCGCCATAAAACCATTATTAAATCAAGGTTTCAGATTCTGAATTCTTATCAGCTTCATCTTGCAATTTTATACTCCTTTGATGCTATAAAGCATCTGTTTCCACTACAGTTGTCTCTTAAATTGCATTTTTTTTTTAAAAAGGGGGGAACTGCATTAGATTATCCATTCATGAGAGGGAGCTGTTTGGTAAGTGCATACTTGGTGAGAATGTATAATTCAGCTCCATCTTGTGGTGTGATCATGCAACTTGCAGTGCTAAATCAGTCACTTAAACCAGATATACATCAGATCGAACACACAAAGTCTCCGTTTCCACAAATATTTTTCTTGCTGGGATAAAAGGGGAGTGAGCCTCTGTGTAAAGCATGCCATTACTCTGTACCTTTCATGTACAAAGTAACTTGTGGCTCATTTTAATTTTATTTATTTACTTGATTTATAGCCCACCTTTCTTGCTGAGATTACAAATTATAAAAAAACAGTTCTATCAGACAGCATAAAACATCCAACAAACAATGCAATAGGAATAGAACTATGGACTCAGAAAACAATGCAAATCAAATTCTGGGTTCATCTGCACCCTGGACCTTCTTAAATCTACTATCCACAGACATTTCTTAATTCAGGCTTGTTCAGGGGCATCCTGGATACAGATAACTCTGGTAAGAAATATGGGAAAATGCCTTGCAGTGTAATGAAATTGCTTCATATGTACGCTTCCTACAGCCCAGCATTGCCTACACTGACTGGCAGGGCTCTCTATGGCTTCTCTCTAAATGCAAAGTGTGCGCTCCACCACTGTCCTAGATCACCGGACCACACATTACTTTCTAGCCTGGAGCAAGAAAAAGTGGAGAAGTCACCCAAGACTTCCTCCTACCTCTTCCTGGGTAGGAAAAAACATTTGTAGAGACAGAGCCAATGAGTACAAACTGTACTGGAGACAAGAAGATCTGTCTAGTCTACATTTCCCCATATAACAGTTTGCTCTTGGTTTTGATGACTCCTCATTTAAGACCCATGCATCAAAATCTGAAGTCACAAAAAGAAGTCAAAAAAAGACCCACGTCTCCTTCTGAGGGATGCTCACTTCAATTTCAAGTTATACTTTAGCACAAGCTTGGCTGGAAAATTTGGTTAGAAATTTTAACAGATTTAAAGAGTGGGAATAGGTTTCAATCAGTGCTGACTCTAAAACTGTATCTGTGGAACTTGGAGGCTATTCTGCACATCAAAAGAATTCCAAAAAATCATTTCTACATTGTATTTAAGTACTTTTAGCTCTACAAAACAAGCAAAACAGCCTCAAAAATTCTCTGATCTCCTTTCCTGCTTCTGTATATAAAACTATTACACAGTTGATTTACCTCTTTTATTCGCTGATGTTCAGAGTTGTATAAAAAAGTGCCAAAGAGACAGCTGTAAAGATGATCCAAAATGGTGACCAAGAACAGTTCATTGAACTCAAAGGCAGCTGGAAACTAAAGGAACAATAAAATATTTTGTTAAGGTTTTGTTAAGAGAAAACAATCCTGTTTCCATTTAAATACTTTCAACTTCAAATGGAAAATGCAGTGTTCAAGTTTACGAGGTCTCCGAGAAACAGCAAAACTGAAAAGGTTGACAGAAGGACTTGGCAGCCCTTGGCACTTTCATTCAGCCTTCTGTTGAAAGAGGACTTCTTACCAAGGTTTCCTAAAGGATCCTTATTATTACATCTGTGATTTAAAGAGAGATCAGGCGACTGCACAAGGCCTTCCATTTCCCCACTCAAGGTTCTCCTCTTCCTTTTTTAATGGAATGAAAGCAGGCATAGTGGAACAACAAACATGTGGCAGCAGGATTCACTATTACGTTACTGCAACTTAACCTCTACAGTAGAAAAAGATCAGGAAGGGAGGATGGCCCTCCAACCCCAAAGAACTGTTTTCTTTATACCACACTGACAGCAAAATACTTTTACATATACCATACGGGCAACCAGAATTCACACAGTTTCTCAGCTGCAGCACATCACATCAAGTACAGGCATATATTAAGTGATACATGTCCATGTTGTGGAGATTCTGCAAGCATACAGAGATTCTTATGGCACTGGCCAAGTTAGACATTTCTCATAAAGGCGATCCATTTCACATCATTTTTCTTGGAAAAGTATTTGTAGTTATTGCCTTAATGTTCTGAAGGAGACTGCAGTGGCTCCATTTGAAATGTTTTACATCTGTTGGGGTATGGATTCAATTCCATTGTAGTGAAATCTGGATTTTATAACCCAGATAGCAAAAATGCTAGCCTGTGCTTCCAACCATTGACAAGTTTTATATGATTTAGCCTGTAACAAGTTTGTGCTGAAAACTCTGTAGATGCCACTGGGAACTGCCCCTGCCATGTACAAGCTGAGCACATCTACCCTTAAGCGCCTTTGTTGCTCTCCATCCAATTTAAAAGATGAGAACAGAACCAGATGAGCCTCCATCCCGCTTGGTCCCAGGGAGTTTCAGCTGGTTGTCACCAGTTCAGTTATGTGTAATCTGCTGCCATTAGTAGCATGTTCTTGCACATCTCTCTCATGTGCCCCTTTACAAACAAAAAACAACCAAACCCTATAAGGACAGCATGGAATTCCAATCCCAGCAGAATTCCCATCACCTCAAATGTTGTTTTAAAAAATGGCACAAGATAGTCCTTGGCTATGAGTTTAGCAGCAGTTAATGTAACAGATGGTCAGATAAAGACAGTTCAAGCACTGCAAACATGATTGATGTTTGATACCAGGTAGGGGTGCCCTAAATTATAGGAGGTGAGAAGTCTCTTTTTATCTTACTGTCCATCAGGATTATGACACTAATCAATGCTCTACATACTGAGATTAACACTGCAACCCTATGAAGACCTAGGTAAAGGTTTCCCTTGCTCGAAAGCCAGTCGAATCCGACTCTAGGGATGCGGTACTCATCTCAGTTTCCAAGCCGAAGAGCCAGCACTGTCCGAAGACGTTTCCGTGGTCATGTGGCCGGCATGACTAAACGCCAAGGTGCATGGAACATTGTTACCTTCCCACCGAAGTGGTACCTATTTATCGACTTGCAATTTCTTGCTTTCGAACTGCTAGGTTGGCAGGAGCTGGAACCAGAGACGGGAACTCACTCCGTCATGCGGCACTTGGGTCTCAAACTGCTGAAGTACCGACCTTCCAGCCTGCAGTTCAGCACCTTAACCACTTGAGCCTAAATCCAGTGATTTCAATGAGCTTAGGTTGGAGTATTTCTTTACAGGACTGCAATGTAAGAAATTAGTACCCTCTTGTGAAAAAATGAGAAGCCTATAAACAAAGTCTCAGGCCGAATCTGCATTTGCATTTTTAAATCATTTTCATGCTGCTGTGACGCCGTCTTTCTCTATGCTTGTTTGAATGTTGTTTGGAGAAGATTCTTTTAAAGCAGTGAGGTGCAATGACAGTGGAGCTGCCCCAAAGGACGATAAACATATGTGGACCTGTAAAAGTATACTAGCACTGTTGAGGTGTGAAAATGACACCAAATGTAGACAGCTTTTTTGAAGATGGAGTCAAAAGGCTGGGACACTGGTGGGAAAGAGAAATGCAGATTCCGCCTTAGTTCTTGCTTTCAGTTCCAGTGTACTCAACTCTCCTTCTTTCACTAGACCTGCTCATGTTTATTTCAGACTTCTTGCTGGATTCAGATTCTGCACACATGTGGAACTGGCAAAATTGTTTCACAGCCTTTTACATGAAGGAAACTGAACAGTTACAGCAAGAAATGACTGGTAATGAGGGAGGTAAAACAAAATCCAAACCAGGAAAGGCTGTTCTGAGTTGCTCTGCCCATAAAAGGTTTTTGTTTCCTCCAGATGTTTAAAGTATTATAGGGTCATCCCCCTCATGGAAAATAGTTGCACACCTTTCCAAAGAGGAAGCAGAGGACAAAATAATAAACTGACGATACTGTAAAGAACGGGATTATACTAAACACTTTCCTCATGCAACGTTTAATACCAACAAGCACCAGAAAATAAGTGGGAATCTTTCCACCAAGTAACAGCTATGACAACAGCTCAAATTTCTGGACGGAAACACTCTAAAAGGGAAATGCTCTAAAAGGGATGCTAGTTGGTTGTTTCTCTTCCCTGGCTCACCAAGTGGTCACATGCACAGCACGACAAACTACCACTTGACAAATAAATTCCTGTGTCCGAGGCACAAGAAGCCAAAGGGGTACATTTTGTCACTCTCCAAGGTAGTACAATTTTTAGTGTGGTGATACCACATTGCCTGCTGCCAGGTATTTCCAACATAGACTCTGATTTGAGACACAGGGCCAAAACCTTAGTGCAGAAAAGCTCTTCAAAAGCCCTCAAGGCCAACCTGTTCCAATGTTATAGTTTACAGCAAACTGTCTGAGAAAGAGGCTAAGTTATGATCTGAAGCATTGTGAGAATCACATACATCTTCCTTGCAGGAGCACAGTGCCTTTGGCTCACAGAAACAGGAGCCTGGATCCAACTCTCTATCTTTGAAAGAACACTTTTTAAAAGAAAATTTCACAAGCAGGGGAAGAAAAGCAGCAGAGATTTATAAGCTCACCTTGTCAATCACACCAAAGTAGCATCATCATTTGATTTGTACTTCCTAAAAATAATTTGCTTTGGGAATTATATTAATTCAAGTATAGAGAATTATACACCTTTATTCTATTGTGCAATGGTAAAGGATATCAAGTATCATCCGCTTTATAAAAGATCTGCTCTAAATCTGAATGTTAAATACAATGCATCATTAATTCATCCTGAACAGCTTAAACCTCAGAGTTTGTATATATTAATTAGATGTCTTTGATATGTAAACTAGCTTGTCACAGAAAAACTGCAGCAGCAGTTTCCCAGTCAAACAATCTTTATATTCTAAGACCAAGCTTATCTATCCTAGGTGTACTAAAGGCCCATGGCCTGGAGAGACAAAATTGTAACAGAGGTCAGCAGTACCTAAACATAGCTCATTTCTTACATTTGAGAAATGCTGAAAAGGTTTCCTCATCAGATTCCTCTGTTTTTCCTTAACAGAAACATTTTTATTTTGTAAATATAGAGACTGTTATCTGTCTTAAACGGCGTATGCAAAACTTATAGGTATGCAAAAGTGCCCTGGCTCTTGTGAGAGGAAAGCGGCCTCCCCAGGGCTTGTTCAGCTTGCCCCACGCCCTTTAAAAAGAGCTGTCGGCCCATTCTACTTATCATTCAGACTACCAGCAGGGAAGGAAAGGAAGAAGGATGAAAGGATAGCGGTTAACTCTATACCCCTCCAATGAATTAACGGGATGGCTTGGGGTGGAGGGTCCTTCATTTTGGATGGAGTCAGTAGGAGTGAAAACAGTCCCCCTACCATTCCTACGTACCCATGATGCAGCTTAGAATACTAAAGTCCATAGCCAATCACAGCTCTAACTACCAAATAAACCCAACCAAGACACCCAGACCTCAGGTTACATGCTGTGTTGTTCCCTCTCTTTTTTCCCTACAAGACTGTTTTTATTTATTGCAGTAATATTCAATAGCATGAAACAAAGTAGGTAACATACATAACTACATTTACAGTAAAGTAGGTATAAATAGATATAACAATAACAATCTAATAAAGGTTAAGTCAATTGGGCTAAACTTATTGACTTACTAACTCTCAAAGGCACCTGAAGTATATAATTATACTAAATTTGCTAATAGTGGTTACAGTGAAAAATAATATATAGAAGTACTGGCCTCAAAGCTTTAACTAACCATGACTATCCATAGGTTAAAAGTTTAAACTTGGTCTCAGACAAAGTTTCTAGATCCCTCTTGTCAGTTTCAAGCTTGTCAATGATAGGATACCATATGACCAATGGGTTTAAAATGTCTTTGCTAGTGTCAGTCTTTGCTAGTGATCATGGAGATATTTTCAAGTAGAAAGTAGTCCCACATTTTGTGCAGCCACATTTGGATTGTAGGAGGTGATTGCGCTTTCCACGTTTGCACAATGACAACTTTTGATGCTACAATCAACAAATTAATCAGTTGTTTTCTCTTTGCAGGTGGACTGTCGATTGGCCACAGGTGCAGTAGGATCAGCGCTGGATCCAAAGGTAAGGGATATCCTGTTAATTTTTCTATTTGCTGTGCTACTTGCTTCCAGAATTGGGATATTACTGGGCAGTCCCACCAGTTGTGGAAAAAAGTTGCTGTCAATCCACACTGTTTCCAGCAGAGTGGGGAAGATTGGGGGTATATCTTTGATAGTTTGGCAGGGGTGAGGTACCATCTGTGAAGAACTTTGAAGGCTGATTCTTGGATTGCTTGAGATTTAGAGATTTTCACATGCATGTACGAAATTGCATCCCATTGAGCTGGTAAAATTGGTTGTTGGATGTCTGTTTGCCAGGCGCCTTGATCGCTCAGGGCTTTAGTTCCATGTATATCAATCAGTATGTGA